TAATCAATCAATTCTATACTATATATAATAACAAAATCCCTGAAATTTTAACTTCCCGCCCAATTCCTAAAAAATCTCTCTTTCTAATAAAATATATTGATTTCTACTTTCGCATTCGTACAATAATTCTGCAAACTATTCCTATTGTAATCTATATCTATACTATATATCAGTGTTGCAAAAATCGCATTGCTGGCCGCGGCGATGAAGGCCGGAATCGGCCTCTTCTGCAGCCACCTCTCCGGGTGAACCGGCGATTAATTTTATTTTATTTTTTTAAAGTTGTAATGTGTCAAAACTTCGGCATGGCATAACTTTTGAGTCGGTTTTCCGTTTTGGAAAAATGCTTTTTTGAAATCGCGTATTTTTTCGAAATCTATCAACCGCAAACTATCGTAGGCAGTTCGGCCCACCAATTTCTAAAAAAAATGCTTTATTAAATAGTTTCTAAGAAAAAACTATGAGAACATTATATTTTATTAATGAATTTTTAAAATTTTTTATTAAAAAATTGTCCCGTGCATTATTTAATAATCTTTCTTTATAATTGGTCAAATTATTTAATTATGGTAAATTAGAGAATAATTAATGATGGTAATAAAAATCCTAGAAGAATATAGAATTGAAGAATATGTAATTATTGTTATATTATTATTGTGACTCACGGAATACAATACAAGAATATTTAATTACGGTTATATTAGTATTGTGCCTCACGGTCATTATATACTAACAGAACTTGAAAAGAAACTAATAATAATAATAATAATATAAATGGTAATAATAATATCTAAAAGTAATTAAGTGTTAATAATAATAGTAAGAATATTAACTTAAGAATTATAACATAGAATAAATCGTAATAATTAATAACTATAATCTAGGATTAAATTTGGAATTGTTAGGAAAGATAAGCGATTTCGGGTGAAATTAACTCTTAAATAATTATATATTGATTTAAATATTCTTAATATATTACAATAATTCCATTCCGTGCATCGCATGGGTGAAAATACTAGTATGTTTAATAATATAAAACTTATGTATAAGTATTTCACAAAATATATAAATACATAAAAATAAAAATAAAAGATATCAAAAAGAATTAACAAAAAAAAAGCATAATATTTTAGTACAAATAATAATAATAATAATAATAATAATAATATTTTTAGTACAGTTTAATTTTGTTAAAATTATGATTAGGTCATTTAATTTTAAATTAGTATATATTGAATATTAGATTTATTTTAATTGTCTTAATAAAATCTTTCAAATGATATAATTTATGTTTAATACATATGTATACGTATTTAACAGAATATATAAATACATAAACATAAATAAATTATATAAAATGATTTAACAAAAAAAAAAAAAAACATAATATGATCAGAGGAATTGAAATATGATTAGTAACATGTAATTGTAATAATTCGTTAAAAAAAGTCAAAAAAAAAAAAAGATTTGTAACTTGTAATTATAATAATATTTATATTTTAAGAAATAACTAACAAATCTTTATTAATTAAAATTTTAAAGAAATCAAATTTATTTATTATATTACTCCAATATATAACGTCTATATATATTATTATCATTTGATACTATTAGAAAATATAAGGTGAATTGTAATTCTCTCGAACCAAATACTGTAATTTCGGATGCCAAAGAATTATATTGTAAATGAATTGCAACTACTTCCAGCCAAACAACCCATTAATATTTATTAAAATGATATTTAATTATAAGATCAAATCTGGAAAAAAAAAATCAATAATTAATGGAATCAATAGTTAATGGACCATTTATGGTTAAATTGAAAGTTAAGAACAAAAATTGGTAAAGATCAATAGTCAAGTGGTCATTTATGATCCAATTGAAAGTGAAAAGATAAAAATTAGTAAATGGCAATAGTCAAGAGATCACTCTTCGAATTAACTCATATAAATATATATAGTTGAAAGAAACAAATCAAATTGAATAAATATTATTCTATTTCAATTCTTACCACAAAGAAGAAATAGTTCATAAAAGAACAGAAAAAATATAACAAAATTGACACGATCGAGTTCAATTTTTTGTATACTATAATTTAATTGTTATCATATAATTAATTAATAATATAAAAACAAAATGTCCATCATCATTGTTTTTGTTATTATTATTATTAAAATGTTAAAAAAAAAAAATTTGCAATGTATCATTAAGGTTTTTTTTTAAGATTATACTCTCAACCTATTCATAATATATATGTTCAACAATTATGTCAACCATTCGAATCTAATACTTTTTTTATGGAAAAGAATGAGTATTTTATGGAAAAGAATGAGTAAAGGGGGTGTATTCAATCATGACTTTCATAGAGTTTTAAAGACTTTTATGAACTTTAAAAGTTTGGAGGTATTCAATTCAAACTTTTAGAGAGTCTTTAAAAGTTAGGCGGTATTCAATCAAGATTTTTAAAGAGTCTTTAAAAGACGTGTGGTATTCGATTAAGACTTTTAAAGAGGGGAAATTCTATTCACACCCCCTTTTTACTATTTGCACCACCTACATAATAGGTCAAACCACTTTATAGGTGGTGCTAACTAAAAAATGCTATTTACACCCCATCATTTAATGTGGTCAAAAGATTCATATTTATTATTATTTTTTTTTTTACAATCAAATTATTAATTAAAAAAAAAAAACAAAACAAAACCAAACTAGGCGTCACCTTCTCCGGTGAGAAAGCAACTGCCTTCTCATCGGAGAAGGCAACTGGGCTGCCTTCTCCGGTGAGAAGGCAACCCACAGTGGGAATCTGAGCTTATAGTTGAGTCTAGATAGTTGAAATCAAAAGGGAAAAAAGAAGAATCTTTTCTACAGGATCAAAGTATGAATAATTCCGAAAAGAAGTACCTGAATGATGGGAAGAGTGGGCAATTCCAGATCAGTGCGGACATGGTTGAAGAATCTCCGGAGTCTACTTCTATACTTCTTGGCATCCTCAAGATTCACAGTGTCAGTCTCTCCTTGGTACCAAAGGAGCGCCTGAATCGTCGCGCCGCCGCGGGCCGCCGCCTCGCCCCGCCGAATCAGCCGCGTGTAGAGGTGGCCGCCACGGCCCCACTCGCTGATATTCGTCCCCCCGGCGGCGCAGGGCACCAACCCGATCACCCCAAGCCCAGGATCCTTCGTCAACACCGTATGCGCAAACGACATCCCCGGCCCAATCCCCACCGTCTTGTTAATATCTATCCCCAAGTGCAGCGGCTCCTTCGCCGCCTCCCAAATCAGCCCCGGACTGAGGCGGAGCACCGTCGCGCTCGGCTGGCACTCCGGCGGCACGTACCCATCCCACACGTCGTTAACCACCCAGCCCCGGACTGAGAAGGAGTGCCTTCTCACCGGAGAAGGTGACGGGACTTCTTCTTTTTTTTTAATGTATTAATTAATTAAATTTTAAATTATCAAAGTATTAATTACAAGTCTGACAAGGTGGTGCAAATAGCATTTTGACCACCCATTAGGCTATTTGCACCACCTATGTATTTATTGTAAGTTTTTAACTTTTTATATTTTCAATGTACTTTTTACCCTATTTTAGTCAAAGGGGGGTGCAAATAGCAACATCGTTAAAGAGTCTTTAAAAGTCATGTGGTATTCAAAAAGTTATGAACTTTTGTAGACTTTTTAATTTTAGGACTTTTGTAGACTTTTCCTTGTAAAATATAAATAGTTGAAATCCAACCATCAACCCCAAGATTTCAAAATTTTCTTTCTAACAACTCTGAATGTTTTCTCTCTCTATTTAAACTCTATTTTTTCTCCATATTTAAACTTTATAAACCTATCTAAATTCAATAAAATTCAATAAAATTATTTTTTTCTTCATTATCCTATATTTTCCTCATACCTAAACTCTACCAATTTTTCTCTCCCTCCTAAACTTTACAATCTTCATCTAAAAATTTGAAATAATATTATTTTTATTTCATTATTATTGCTTGTTTATATTGATTTTTATTTTTTCTATGAATTTTTTATCCCTAACTTTCTCTAATTCTCCCTAAATACATGAACAAAGTAAATTTTTCATCTTCAAATTTTATCATATGTTTCATAATATTCATATAAATACTTTATATATATATATATATATATATATATATATATATATATATATATATATATATATTAACAACACGTTACTACGAATAGTGAACTACTATTCGCAACAACAATTTGGGGTTGCAAACAGTAGCACCTTGTTGTTCGCAGTCTCAAATTACTATTGCAAATAATAGTTCTTTGCACGATGCCTAGCAATATATCAAGTATAATTATAATTATAATTATAATTATATATATATATATATATATTATTTTATTTTATTTTATGCAACTTGTAATTATATTTTTAAATATTTTATTTGATCAATTCTTTTATTGTAAATTTTATTGATCAATATTGTTATGAATTTCTAATGAAATAGTTCCTTTTTTTTTTTTGTTGATGTTTATTAATAATATCTATGTAAGTAATTAGCATTTTTTTTTTTTTGAAGAATAAGTAATTAGCATATAAGACTCGGCGTGGATAAAAATAATAATATTGAGAATGTTGATATGGGTGAAGAACTATATAATAAGAAGAATTTTATAATATATTATAAATGTTTTGTAAGAAAATTATAAATGATAAGAATCAAAATCATTGAAAGTTTGTAAGGATGTATTCAATTTAGAATTTCAATGACTTTTGTAGGCTTTTTAAAATAAAAAGTTGATAAAAGTCTATGAATATTTTTTATATAGACTTTTATAGAGTCTTATAAAGTTTTTAAAAGTTTTGAACGACTATATGAAAGTCAATCAAAGTTTATTAAAATATATCATTTTAAAAGTTTTTAAAACTCTTCAAAAGTCATGATTGAATATACCCCCTAAGTTAAGAATAATATACAGTTAACATATATTCCATTACTAAAGTTTGTACATAAATAAAAAAATAAAAAATTAAAGGTTATAACTCTAAAAATATCTGATTATTATACAATGATAATTCGAAATATACTAAGGTATCAATTCACATTATTACACCCAAGTAACTCTTTAGATTATGAGATGAAGTACATATTTATTTATGGCATAAATTAAATCGTTAAATTTGTCCAAGATTTACTCTTCCATTCACGCAATGTAGTACATTGGATCCGGCACCTTAAACGTCCGATCTCCGGCGTCCGGTCCGAGCAGATCACTCCATTGATCTCCCATGTTCCCGACGATCCTATATCCGGCGTTCACCAGCTCCGTCCTCTTCCCGGACTTGAACACAACACCTGACCCACTTTCATTCACTCCCCTAATATATTTTTTACACATTCATCCAATTAATAACAGAATATGTAAAATCAAAATCTCTGATCATCATCTGCTGTAAAACACACCTTCGTTTCACTGTACTTACTTGAAAATTAGCTTTTCCCAATTATGATAACCGGCTTGGAGTAGATTAGTGGCTCTAGCTTCTCTCTGTACCTCTCTTACTCCTGTTAGGAATACCGGCCTAATCCCCAAAGAGAGTAAGACGTTGTACAACCGGAGACTCGCCGGAATCACCGGCGACTTTGCCTCTCTCACCCATTCGTTAAACTTGGTTGAGTTATAAGCTATGGCCCTGAATTGAAATCCAAATTCACCATATTAAATTGAAAGATGCATTGGTAAAGAGTTAATTCCAGCAATGGTCCTCTGACTATGTTGATTTTCCACAATTAGTCCTCGACTTTTAATTTGGACAATTTAGACACTCGACTTTCAAATTCTTTCCAATGTTAGTCCTTCCGTCAAATTAAGGTTAAGTGGATGTTAGTTTGAGGGGTAAAATAGTCCTTTCACTTGCTTATTTTATAATTATACCTTTCTTGTATACGCGACATTCTTTCCCGGTGTAGCAAACATGTCCAATCCGCCGGCAATCCCTGATGTCCATGGAAGTAACAGAGAAAAAGACGATGAGCATAATAATAGAGTGAGTGATTAGAGGGCTCTTGATAAGCTGGTCGCTTCTCAGTTGAACCACGACGATCCTAATGATGATCAGAAGAGATACAACGGCGGCGCCGAATCGAGATTGAAAAATTAGAACGATCGCTTCTCCGACATAATTGACTCCATGGTTACTTCCGCCGGAGAGTGTTTGAAATAAGCACTCTTTTAAAATATTAATAAACAAGCAAAGTGGGATCTCTATCTATGATTTTCAAACTCATGGAATTCGCCACATCCTTTATGTTCTTCATGAGAGCCACACTGGTTTTCTTGCTGACTTGTTGTACCTAAAACTCTTGCTAATATAAGAGTTCATCATGTTTATCTTACTGTCTGATCTCCCATGTGCTCTGTGCAATAGCTCCTTAACCATCTGGGAGTACCCCACATGCTTCTCAAATTCCTCCATGGCTAGTTGCTTCCCAGTCTGGAGATCACTCAGCTTGTTCCACATTCCCTTTTCGTTGCACTCTTTCACGATAAACTCCTTCCCCGTGTCCATATTCTTTATCAAGAAAAAGGAAACAAAACACTCATCTGTCATACTAGTCGTCTGGGTTCCTCTCTTTTTGTGTTTATTTCGTTTTGTCACGATGACTGGGCCGATGATTTGTTTTATTCATGTTCTGTATGTTATTAATTCGGATAGTGTTCTTATTATACAGTGTTTTGATACCCCGGGCCAAGCATCTCTTCTTTCATCCTCTTAGTATTTGCAGAGAAAGAATCTATGTCGCCTTCTGATCTTGACCGGACCAGCATAAATGGGAACGTCGCCCCCGCATCTTCTCCGTTGCCTCCTCTTACTTCTTGGGTTCCTTCTGCACCTCCTGCTCCTTTATTACCTCATTTTTTATCTCTTGGATTTTGGATGGGTTTTTGTGGGATAGGAGGAGTAAGGGGAGAAGCACCTTTGACCTTTAACGTACCTAAGCAGGCGGATGAGGAGGCCAATGGTGGAGACAATGAGGAATATCTAGAGGATGTGGCGAGAAGTTGATCATGGAGGACGTGCAGAGAATACCTTAGAAGGGATAACTATAAGCTAAGCAAGTGAAATGACTATTTTACCCCTCAAACTAACATTCACTTAACCTTAATTTGACGAAAGGACTAACATTGGAAAGAATTCAAAAGTCAAGTGTCTAAATTGTCCAAATTAAAAGTCGGGGACCAATTGTAGAAAATCAACCTAGTCTAAGGACCATTGTTGGAATTAACTCCATTGGTAAAATAGTTAACTTATAAGTCAATTTTGACTTATCTAACCATTATTAGCTGTTTGATTTTGTTAAAAAATCAATATAAATGTTCAGTTAATTAGTTTTTTGTAACTCTAAAATGCTAAAAGAGTAAATACCCAAAATAGTCCCTCGACTATAGCTAAATTCACAAATTGATCCTCGACTTTTAATTTCAATCAATTAAGTCCTTAACTTTGCAATTTTAACACGATTTGATCCTCCGTCTATTTGACCGTTTGTTAACTGTGATTTTTTAGGATATATATGTAATTTCATGGTCCATCGTCGATTTTTTAAGGTTCCGGTTGTATTTTCAGACCACACTGTTACATTTGGATCCACCGCGGAAAGCAATCTGCGAAATCCTGTCGCCTTTCTTCATCCTCCCTTGGATTCAATGTAGTTGAGTTCATACTAGAGTGAAGAAGACAACGTGTTTCCGAACCGGTGCAGCGTCATCTTGGAGGCCTCCATGTGCTCCGATGAGAGCTGCGGGTTCTTCTGGAGATGGCCGATGACGGCGCGGGCGCGAGCGTTAATGCAAAAGTGTTCGAAGGACCAAATCGTGTTAAAATTACAAAGTTAAAGGACTTAATTGGTTAAAATTGAAAGTTGATGACCAATTTGTGAATTTAGCTATAGTTGAGGGACCATTTTAGATATTTACTCATGCTAAAATTTAAAAAGTTGTTCAAAGTAACTTTTTTAATTAACTTTTTGAGAAAAGAAATTATACTAAACAACTATCAACTAACAGCTAATTTACCAAACATCTTTCTACAATAAGCTAATATTATCAACTACTTATACCCTCTAATTAACACAATCAGCTAACAGCTAACCGACATTTAGTTATCAGGGCCTATATTAAAATTAAGGAAGCCAAGGACCTGGTCTACTATAGCGTGCTCTCCCATATGTAAGGTTATGAGTTTAAGTTTTGGAGGCGGTATTGACTTCTTTCAATAAGTTGACAAAGTAATTATGAACAGATATTGCATTGTAATAGAGTCAGTAGTATTTAAAAAAAAAAAAAGATTAAAATTAAAGAAAGTTGTATTCATATTGTTTTGAGATGAAACAATAATTTTAGTTGCATTCAGGACATTAATTATTACGTACCCGAAAGCGACGTCGGAGCGGGCATAGTAAGGCAAGTTAGAGAGGGTAGTCTCGTCGATGTCAAAGACCCAAATGTCCTTGCCGTCGCCGGAGAGTGTGAGGCTGTTGGCGTAGTCGATGGCGGCGTCGGCGACTACCTCGCAGTCGTCCCTGTACTGCTTCCCGAGCATGTAATGGCCGACGTAGTTTTCGCAGTCGGACGGGACCAGTTTCCAGCCACGGATATTGTTTGTCTCCACCCCGAGACGCCAGCTGAGGCAGTCGATCTGCGGGACGCGGTGGCCGGCGGACCCCGTCTGAGGCCGTAGGCGGTGGATCTCCACCACCTGCTGAATGTACGGCGGCTGGGGCGTGGCAGTAACAGCCCACGCTGTTACAGTGACAAGAAACAAGAGTTGAATGGCCTTCTTCATCGTCTTTGTTTCTATAAGGAAACCATGGACGGGATGAAATTTTTGATGCATTATTGGGTGTTTAAATAAATATCAGGCCTTCTTTACTAAGGACTATATTATTAGTATTAGACTAGAACTCTATTTTCTGTTAATATATTTGTATCTTCAGACTTTAGTATTCAATACAAAACAATCTATGGTCCACATAGCTGTTTAGATTAGGAATATCAGGTACATTTTTTATATATTAAAAGTATATTATTAATTACAAAAAGATTTGTGGGAGGGTACAAATTAAATTTTTTTTTTTTTAATTGTTTGGTAATGATTTTGTTTTTGGATAAATGTTAAACGGCAGTTCAGTAGCAGGTTTTGGATTATGTGTGCGGATCAGATTATAAGTACGGATAATTTTTAATCAATTATTGTACTATAGACTATAGTTAGTGAGTTAAGGCTGGATTTATCAATGGAATTCTACCTTTGTTCAAACCTTTGTGTATTTTTATTTTTTTTTTTTAAATGACACATTACTTGCAAGTTTGAAAACAGGAAAGCTTGCAAGCCTAAAGAGCATTCTCATTTGTTAGGTTTTTAGCACAAATTTTTAAATGTCAAGCTTAAAGTATATCCTCAATAGTGGTAGGATTTTGAAGAAATTTTACAAGTGTGATTAAGAAAGAGAAATTGGTGAAAAAAAAAACGAAAAAAAAAAAAGCAAAAACAAAATAAAAAACTCTCAAAACCCCTCCAAAATCTCCAAAATTCAGACAAAATCCCTTAAATAACCTAACAACCCCAACCCACTCTCTCCTCCAACACATAAACTTTTTCTTAACATATGTGCAAAATCCCCGGGATACCCTCATTTGTTAGGTTTTTAGAGCATCCACAATGGTTGGGAAGAATAGGGGATAATGTAAGAGTGATTAGGAGAGAGAATGTGGGAAGGGGAGGAAAACAAAAAACAAAAAAATCAAAATCAAAAATTAAAAAACAAAAAAAAAATTAAAAAAAAAAAAGAGTCAGGGGCGCCCAACGCGCCCGTGTAGGCGGGCTGCTGTGCGCGAAACGCGCACAGCAGCCTCCTTTTTCTTCTCTTTCTTTTTCTTCTTTTTCTGCATTCTCCTTGAATTTGCAGGAGAAATATTTCAAACAATAACTCCACTCCACACTTGTTATTATCCCCACCCGAGATAATTCATCTGACATTATCTCCATAATATCCACTGATGTGGATGCTCTTAGAGCATCCACATTGGTTGGGAAGAATGGGGAGATAATGTAAGAGTGATTAGGAAAGAGAGTGTGGGAGAGGAGAGAAAAAAAAAAAAAAAAAAAAAAAAAACAAAACAAAAAAAAAATTAAAAAAAAAAAAAGTAGTCAGACGCGTGCAGTGCACGCGCCCGGCTTTTGCCCAAGGCTGTACGCGAACGCGCACAGCCTTGCTTCTTCTTCTTTTTTTTTTTTTTTTTCCTGACAATCTCCTCACATTTGCAGGAGGATTCTTTTTCAATTATCTCCCCTCCACACTAGTTATTATCTCATGTAGGGAAGAATTAATGCTGAAATCTCCCCACAATATACACAAGTGTGGATGCTCTTAGCACAAATTTTTAAGTGTCAACTAGGAGGGAAGAAGGGAGGCAAAAAACATAAAAAGTTAAAAACAAAAAAAAAAAAAACAAACAAACAAACAAAAAAAAATAAAAATAGAAATGAGTTGTCAGGAAAAGAAGAAAAAAAAAACAAAACAAAAAAGCAGTTATTGAGAATCCACATAGCAATTTCCAAACTTGGGAATCTACATACTAATTTCCCTGCTTAAAAATGGAAAATCACCACATCACCATCAGCTTTTACCCAGAGTTAAAGTCTCAACCTCGAATTAAAGGATTGAAAGCTACTTATGCCTTTTTAAGAACCTCAGTAATCAGTTTGAATGAGTAACTAGTAAATAAATAAATCAAACATGTATGATTGAAGTCAAGAATTCAAATATTCTGCATTGAACAAGAAGAGTTGAGAGAACTGTAGCTCTGTTTGACTGTTTCAGATTATAATATAAACATATAGAAATATTGTGTGCAGTTTATGCATAAAAGTGGTGCATATCCACAATTGATCAAATAAAGCTGTTACTCCAAGCCAAATTCTACCTGATTGAGGCATTAAATGATCCTGAAAAAAATACACCAAGACAACGAAAAATCTAACAAGAAAGTAGAGTTTGAAATGAGGGAACAAGTGAATTGCACATGATGAAAACATTTAACACCATTACAATTCACAAAATTGACAATTATGACTTTGTGAGTGGCATCAAGGCAGCACATCTCAATTGTCAACTATCCTTGCAAAAGCCGTAAACCTTCATTCAGAATCTATATAAAATCTTGCAAATCAAAAGTAGCCACATCTATCACCAGAAACCAGCACACCCAGGAAAAGCAACTCAAGAAACTTTGTAACTAAAAGGCAATCAGATTCTAATTCATGTCACATTTATCACTAGGCTTGCACTTGATTTTTTTCTCTTAGTAGCTTATCTACTTGTGTGAGTATTTTGACTGTGCAGATCATAATTTGAAATGCAACTGAAAAGGTAATCATAAATTGAACTTTATAAAATTTGACTATTTCATGGGGTGGAAAAAATTAAGCCACTCCAGTGAGAAGAAAAAAAAAAAAAAAAAAAAAAAAAAAAAAGATAAAGAGAGTAAGAAATTGAATCAGGCTACATAAAATAGATGTGGGCTTGCAGGTCACTCAGGATAGTTCTCATCACCTTAATGGACTAACAACCCAACCAGTTATTGGATTCTGCCTTCGAATTCTAACTGTCCGTTGTGAACCACTTTGCAACCGATCAAGAATTGCATAGGTGATCGAATCTGGTACTAAACCCTGTTCTCTTAGTTTTGCATAAAAATTAACTGCATCAGCAGTTCTCCCACATCTCTGGAGACAATCCAGTAAGATATTGTATGTGACTATGTTTGGGCTACATCCGTCAGCAAGCATCTCATCAAACAACTGACACGCCATCTCAACTTTATCAGTCTTGCCAAAACACTCAATGAGTGTGCTATATGTGACCACGTCTGGATTTAAACCCTTCTCTTGCATCTCTCTGAACCTCATATGCGCTTCATCAAGATCGCCATTCTTCCCTAGACAATTTATTAAGGTGTTGTATGAGACAATATCAGGCTTCCAATTACTATTCTCAAGTTCTTCAAATATGTTGACAGCTTCTGCAACTCTTCCAGCTCTGCCAAAGCTAGATATCAAAATGTTATACGTGAATAAGTCTGGTGATATACCAGCCTCCTTCATCTTCTCGTAAAGGTCATGAATATGTGGAATCTGCTTTAGTCTTCCAAGAGCAGAAAAAACAACATTATACATGAAGGTATCAGTACCTATCCCTTTTTCATGCATCTTACTCAGCAAGTCTATAGCCTCGGTTACCTTCCCAGCAGTGCATAAACTCTCTAGCATGGACAAGTAAGCATCCCTATCTCCCTTATCATGGAAATTCCACATGGAGCAGAACAGCCTGTGAGCTTCACCAGCATGACCTAATTTACTGAGTGTCCTTACAAGGTACGCATATATGGACTTATTCATGTATCTCTCAGAAATTTCCACAACTTCATCAAGTCTATGAAGATTCCCTTCTGCTGCCAAAGCATATAAAATAAAGCTGTACGTAAGCTCATTTGGCCTGCAATTGTTTTCTATCATCTTAGAAAAAAGAAAGAGAGTCTTGTCAACCATCCGACCCTTAGAGAGTGCTTGAATCACGGTGTTATAAGCAATCAAATTAGGAGAGCAACCTTTTGACAGCATTTCTTGGAATAAAACTAGTGATTCATTCGGCTTCCCAGTTTTTCCATTCATTCTAATCAGAATTGTATATGTATACACATCAGGCTCACAGTACCTCTTTTTCATGTCTTCAAAAACCTTGTGTGCCTGTTCAACCTGGCAATACACTGCATATCAGAATTATCAGAATCAATGAGTATAAATTATAATTGTGTCTTACTTCATATAAATTAGAGTGCATTGAAACTAACATTATAAACTAGCATGATTATTTACTAATGAATAATACGGTTAACAAAGTGCAAAGAATAAGAATCGGACCTTTTCTTCCTTGGCAAGAGCATCAAGAAGCATATTGTATGAAAAAATATCCAATTTGTACCCCCGCATTCTTATATCTCGATAAACTCCCAAAGCCTTACTCGAATCGTTCAATCTCAGATACGCCTGCAGAAGACACTTGTAAGTATAGCAAGTTAACCTCAAGTCCCATTTCTTAACCAGCTCCAAGCATCTCTTCAACTCACTACAAACTTCCGCTTCGCCGCTCCCAAAAACTCCGATGAGAAGATTGACGGTGGAGATGTTACCACGTGTGCCAGCGCGTTCCATTTCACTTACGATTTCGCGGATGTGATCTAGGCGGGTGGGGAGAGAGGACTTGGAGAGGGTGAGAATGATGCGGTTGTAAGTGAAGGCGTCGTGGCGGAAATTCGGGATATTCTCGGGGCAGAATCGGAAGAACTGGAGAGCTAGGGTTGGGGATTTGAGAGACTTGAGAACTTCGGAGGCTTCGGAGGGGGTTAACGATAGAGACAAGGTCTCGAGGTAGTCGGAGAGGTCGAGGAACCGGTCCGATGACAGAGACGGCGGCGCCTGGAGAATCTGAGCGACCTTGCAGATAAGGTCTCGGCGAGGGAGAGCGTAGCCGCGGACGTCAGTTTGGAGAGTCGGGGAATCGACTTCGATGGCGAATGACCGGCCATTATCGGCTTCCACCACCACTCTGCCGCTGTACTTAGTCGCAAATCCACGGTGCTGATAGCGGCTGAGAATCAGCCGGAGGTGGCGGCGGTTGAAGCGGCGCAGTACCATGGTCTTTCGTCAACCCCGCCGCTGGAGTATGGAATACGGAGCATCGATTGAGAATGAGAAGAGGAAACTGGAAGCTGAAGACGACGCCGTTTGGATCTAAATTCAAAAGTTTGCCTTTCTGTATTCTGTCTGCAGGAGCCAATTCTAATTTGCATGCAAGGGAAAAGAATTGGTAACATAGTTACTTTTATCCGTCAAATTTAATTTATTTAATTATTATTAACTTTTTTACTTGATTAAACAATTAATATAAGTGTTTGATTAATTAGTTTTTTGTAACGGTTTCAAAATATAAAATTTTAAAAAGGTATTCAAAGTAATTTTTTCAATCAATTTTTTGATAAAGCTATTTTACATGTAATTACATGTAAGAGTTAATTACTGAAATGGTCCATTGACTATAGCGAAATTATCAATTTGGTCCTTGACTATTTTTTTGACCAATTAAGTCCTTCAACTTTAAAAATCTTAACCAATTTGGTCATCCGTTAGTCAATCGTTAACTTGGGACCAAATTGATAATTTGCTATTGTCAATGGACCATTTTGGTAATTAACTTTAAGGGTGGGCAATTCTGTTCAGTTTTCTCGAACCAAACCATACAAAACTAGTTAGATTCGGTAATATACCGAACAACCGAACGGTAATGAATTCTTGTATACTGAACGGTTCGGTAAAAACTCGAACCGAACTGAATTTGTTCGGTAAAGACCGAACCGAACCGAATACCGTTCAAATTTTGAATTGCTATTTTGTTATATATGAAACCTTGGATATGGACTATGTAAACACCATAACACATAATATAGAACTTTTGATAACAAACCATAAAGAAATCAAATAAAACATTTACGAGAGATACCCGTTAGAATACGAGCTGAACGGCAGAGCAAGCAGTAAAGGACTTGGATTTACTTTTTATTTATTTATTTATTTATTATTATAAAAAAAAATCAAACGGTATCCGGTTCAGTTCAATTTTTTACCGAACAATTCGGATCGATTTTTTATCGAACCGTTCGGTGTACAAGAATCCAATACTGTTCGGTTGTTCGGTATATTACCGAACCAAATTAGTTTGGTTCGGTTTGATACGGTTCAGTTCGAGAAAACTAAACCGAATTGCCCACCCATAAAGTTAATTACCAATTTGGTCACAAGTTAACGGTTGACTAACGGTCAAACAAACGGAGGACCAAATTGGATAAGATTTTTAAAATTGAGGGACTTAATTGGTTAAAAAAAATAGTCAATGACCAAATTGATAATTTCGCTATAGTCAAGAGACCATTTCAGTAATTGACTCTGTAATCAATTATCAGCCAACAACTAATTTATCAAACATATTTTTACAATCAACTAATACTCAAACTCGCTAACTCAATAAACTAACAATTGTTTACCAGACACTACTAAAATATTTTTTTTTTTCTTGTCAAAAGAAAAAGAGAAAATTAAAATTTTTGTTCTTAAATTATATATATAAAAAAATTATTCGCCATCTTTAATTATATTCGTCTTTATTTTTCATTTCTTTTAAATTAGGGAAAATGACACTTTTTCCCTCTGAGTTATATACTTATAGCACTTTTTCCTCATCAATTATTTAGGTAAGCACATTAGCCCCTTCAATTATTCTAAAAGTGGTTGTTTTTCTCCCTAATATATTAAATTAACATTTATACCCTTAAAATAAACATTTTATTTATTTTACTTCTCCAACAAATTATTGCGTATACGTAGGGATGACTACGATTCGGTTCGAACTGAATTGGACACTATAGCAATCGAATTAAAAGTTTACGGTTATGATTCAGATCTAGAACCCAACATTTGGATTTCAATTTATTAAAATTATGAATCAAAAAAATTGAATCCTGAACCGTGAACTGGCGGTTCCGGACACGATTCACGATTTTGAACCGTTTTTATTTTAAAATTTTATTTTTTTTTAAAAAAATAGTCTAAATTCAACAATAAATGTATTTTATTTTTTCAATTCGGAACATGAACCGTCCGTTTCGGGATTTTAATAAACTCTAAATATCGAGTTTCGATTCTAAATTGTAATTAAAATATTTCGGTTTGGTTGCTATAGTATTTATTTGGTTTGAACCAAATTATGGTCATAATTTGTTGGAGAAGAAAAATAAATAAAATATTTATTTTAAGGTTAAATATGTCCATTTAACATTTTAGGGGGAAAAACAACCACTTGAATAATTGAGGGGGAAAAAATGCTATAAGTATATAACTAGGGAAAAAATGTCATTTTCCCTTTAAATTATTTACGAAATGATTTGTAAACCCATTAATAGAGGAATTTCAAAGACTCGGACAAATTAAGGAGTTTTTGGTAATTTCACGTAATTATGTATGTTTTATAACAGCATAATGGTCTTTATCTTCTCACAAATTTGGTTGCTCTAAAATTGGGGTTGTCATCAATAGGCCGACAAATTAGGGGTTGTTGTTTATGAAGTTTGGGAGAATTTGGTGTATTCTCAAGCCTTTCATTCTTTCCAAAGCCTTTCATTATTTTAGAGATGGAATTGAGAGTCTCAATTGAAAATTCAAAAATAACACTAATTTTCAAATAGTTGAAAGATATAAAACGTAATGACATGTGTAATTCAGGAAAAAAAAAATATTATTTCACCTATTACAGGCTAGTATCTGCTCAATATATTTTTTCTATCTGTTCTAGTCCAATGACATCACCTGAAGGAGAGTCACAAAGATGGCAACTCACATAATAGTTATGTAAATGATAAAATAATAATAATTAGTGCATACAACGTTTATTACTTCATTCATACAGATTAAAATCGAGATTTTATTTAATAGAACCAAACAAAGTTACTTGGATTATCATAGGCATGATATCAAAATGATGGATTGTTATTTGTTAATATAATGACATTGATGTCAATGACCCTGTGGTCCGGTGGCATGACTTTCCTAAATGAGAGGTCACAACAGATACTACGTTATGACGGAATCAGTAATACTCAAATATAAATTATATAATGAGGTTGATGAATTGACTTAGACCAGAATATAAAGTAAGATTAAAAACAAATAAGGAAAATTCATTGACCCATAATAAAATTCCATAAATCATATCATATATATATATAAATAATATTTCAATCTTGAACCATAATAATGTTCTCCTTAACCACGATGTCTCTTTTTACCCATACGAGATTAACGCGGCTTCTTGTACCGTCGCAGAAATTTAATCTACCGTACCCCATCCATCATGTCTTCTCCCAACATGGGCTCGATGGATTCTGGCTCATGTAGAAACCAATAGAAAATTACAGTTTTTTCTTCTTCTTCTTCTTTTGTTTGGTATGATAGATCCTCAATAAACAAAACATCAATACATGCATGTCGCTAGCCAAACCAAAATTTTGATCAATATATATATCACCCAATTTCATCATCATCTTGTTTCTTTCACAATCATGAATTGACCAAATCCCAGAAATGGCTGATCGTAAGTCCACCAGGGGCCAACCACCCGTGTCCTCCTCCTCTGCAGCAGCAGCGTCGCAGAAACTCGCCGCCGCCGACGAGGCTAGCGGCGGCGGCGGCGGCGGAAAGAACGTCCAGAGCAGCGTCACGTGCGTGTACCAAACCCACATCGGCGGCTACTGGCGGAACGCGACGGTGGTGTGGAGCAAGAACGTGATGAACCATTCGCTGAGCGTGTCGGTGGACAGCGTGGAGACGGAGGATCATTCCACGTGTAAGGTGGATCTGAAGCCGTGGCAGTTTTGGACCAAGAGAGGGTACAAGACGATGGAGGTGGACGGGAACCGGCTGGAGGCGTATTGGGATTTCCGATCGGCGAAATTCTCCGGCGGCCCGGAACCCGTCTCGGATTTCTACGTCGCGCTGGTGTCGTCCGACCAGGAGATGGTCCTGTTCCTAGGGGATTACAAGAAGAAAGCTTACAAACGGACCAAATCCCGGCCGCCGCTGGTGGACGCCGTCCTGTTTTACAAAAAAGAACACGTTTTCGGGAAAAAAAGCTTCGCGGCGCGGGCGAAATTCGACCGGTCGACGAGAAATAAGGACAGCGAGATCGTGGTGGAGAGCTCGGCGTGGGGGGCGAGAGACCCGGAGATGTGGATCAGCGTCGACGGGATTGTCCTCATCCACATCGAGAATTTGCAGTGGAAATTCCGGGGAAACCAGACCGTCACGGTTAACAAAATCCCGGTTCAGGTCTTCTGGGACGTGCACGATTGGCTATTCTCCTCCTCCGCCTCCGCCTCCACCCACGGCCTGTTTATCTTTAAACCCGTGGCGGAGGCGGACAGCGACACCGAGGGCGGCGGCGGCGGCACCGGCACCGACGACGACGGTGACAGCATTTCCAGCGGCGGGAGCAGGTACTACTCGACCAAGAGCAATTCCACGGGGTCGCAGTTTTGCTTGTTGTTGTATGCGTGGAAGCTTGAGTGAATATGATCAGACCATAATGTATGAACACAAAAATACATACTTTAAAAAAAGATCAAATTAAAATTATTTGGCACCACATGCATATATATTGTAAATGTCTTGTAACAAATTAAATACTCTCTACATTTTGTAAACAAGATTGTATAAGTATACATGCGCCATGCTAATTGTGTATATCAATGGAAGGGGTCCTCTGGCCAATGATGTGAAAATGGCATATAGAGTGGGTACGGTTAATATGTGTAAATTAATGCTGAGCATTTTCTTAGATTGAAGTGTTCTTTAATGGTGTGTACTATTTTCAATAGAGAAGATGACAATACAATACAATATAATATTCTAGCTAACAGTTTATAACATACTTTTACTACAATTGTAGTAATATGGTTAGTCTAGGACAATTTTCAATAAAAAATAAATAAAATTGAGCCTCAATTTATATATAAAAAAAAAAAAGTTACGTTGAAACTCAACTTTAATAACTTTCTACCGTTCCGATATTAACTCGAAGAGTATGCTTTGGTGAGTGCTACATTAGTACATGGTTGTCCTCAAAGGATTTAACTCTAAGCTATGAGCTTATGATATTCGATGCTTATTGGGTGCAAACGCAATGGAACCCTCCTCACATACTATATATACCTCAACTTGTCAATAATATATTTTTGAGAGTTTGGGGTTTTTTTTGGGGGGTAACATTTTGAATTAGTTAATTCGAGATATGAGTCAATTTGTGATATTGGCCCCAAAGGTATCAACTATCAAGTGAGTTGGGACAATGTCTGTTGTTTTATTTAAGGATTAATATTTGATACACTGTCGATGTATAGATTATATACACCGACGGTGAAGGAAAAAATAATGTCACATCATTAACAAATAAAGTCAATATTGATCGGGTTTTTTTTTTTTGCAAAATATTTAAGACTTATATTTTATTAGAAAACTCTTTTATTTCTAATTAACAAAATATATATACTTTGCTAAACATATTTATTACTTAATTATTATCTACTACTAATTTCCTAAACATTTTTATTAGTAGATACAACATTAATTGTTCACAATGAGATACATTATTAATTGTTCCCAAACAATTAAATTAAATTAGATTTTATACATTGATGCATCAAATATTAATCCTTTAATTAATAGGAAAAAGATCACTCTCAGACTATAAGCAAAAATAAAAATAAAAATAAAAATAAAAAATCCTTAAACTATTAAAAAAATTACAATTAAGCACTCAAATTCACTAAAATCATGTAATTAAACACACAAACTCAAAAATACCACTAAGACACCATAGCCATAGATAGGTGAGAGTCTGCGATTGCCATAGTTAGATAAAAGCTCCGTTTCCATTAAAATCTTCGTAAGTGATTTCTTCTGTAAACAACTAGACAAGATGCATTTAAATATTTAATTAATTTCTTTATAATATAAATATATTTAACACATCATCTTACAAAATAAAGAGAAGGGCAAATCAGTGCCAATGGGATGCCATGTAATATATCTTTTTTTTTTGGTGAATAAATATATCTTGTTTTTTTTTTTCTTTTTTTTATGTAACAAATTTGGGCATTGATAAATGATCCTTATGTTTTTTTCTTCTTCTTTCAAACGCATAAATTTTTGGAATACGCTATGTATTGTTATCACCATCATCATCATCATAATCTAATCAACTTAGAAGAATCAATGCATGTCATATCTCTAAATTATGCACATATTTTGTATGCTTGTCAAGTTTACACTATGTTAAAAATATTGTACTTTCATGATGTTAAGCATTATAAAAACTTGTTGAACCATGGCTACCCTAGCCTAGATGTTCGGGGCTGGTTGTGTTGAGATCAGTTGTGGCACCACACTCAACCCCTGTACAAATGGGGTCAAGGTCGGTGCCCCCACTGCGGTATTTGCTTGGATGAATGATACTACGTTTGCCAACTTGCATTCCCATTGAGATTGTTGCCACCCGATGAGTTAACGCTAGTGTTGCGAGATTTTGATCTTGTCATTATTTGGTGGAATGAAAATTTGATAAGAAGCACATTCGAGCTTGTATGTCGATAACCGATCTCAATGAAAGCATCAATAATAGATAAAACTTATGTTTTTAGAGCAACTACATAAGTCCAAATTTTTTGTTAGTTTTTTTTTTTTTTTTTTTTTTTTTTTTGGGGGGGGGGGGGGGGGGGTGTTAAGTGATATAGAGAGGGAGGAGAAAAATGTTTTTTTTTTTTATCCTACCTTTTCTTTCGTCCATTTCGTCAAAAAGTTTTTCTTTTAAAAAAAAAAAAAAACCAGCAAAAATCATTGTTGGAGTTCCTCTTTTTCCCAAGCTTACAATATAATTAGTGATGCAATTCCAATAATACCCATGTTCTCAAGGCAGAAACCCCATTCTAAGGTAGTCAGTGTGGAAGTTTTACAGGTTAACCTTTCCCCTCTACTTTTTCCTAAATCTGAAATTCACTTCAAGACAAAAAAAAAAAAAAAAAAAAAAAAAAAAAAAGTCAAAACTATTGTCCCAAAAGATGGTAAGTGATTAATGCAACAGTTGACTAAACAATGAACATATTCCAAAAGTCAAAGATCATTAATCCTACAATTTTATAACCAAATGGCCCTTGCTCTACTCTATTAAAGTATTAATTATTTCCTATAAGAAATAGGTTAGATTAGATTAGAGGCTAAACTTTTAGACTATGGTATACACACTTATAATTACTATTTTCGGACAAGTCATCTTTTTATTAGATACATAAACTTTTGGAATAAGGGTCAAATAGGCCACTCAACTGCACACCAAAGTGCAATTAGGCCATTGAACTAAAAAAGAATGCAATTGAGTCATTGAACAACACAAAAACATGCAATTTAACCCAAAATGACCTGTTTACCTGATACAGCAAGTTACCGATTTTAATTTTTTTTTAAATTATTTTTAATAAATAAATAATTTTAAAAAGGAATAAGGGTCAAATAGGCCATCGAACTGCACACAATAAAACAATTAGGCCATTGAACTTAAAAAACCAACAATTAGGTCCCTAAACTAATCAATTTCAAACAATTCTTCCAATTTGAAGGTTTCCAACAGGTCAACAGGTCATCTCCCAAATTAATTATTTTTTTTTAAAAAAAAAATTTAAAAATTAATTATTTATAAATTAAAAAAAAAAAAACTGGAATCCAACCGGAGACGGTGGAACCAGTTTTTTTTTTTTTTTTTTTTTTTAAATTTAAATAATTAATTTTTAAAATTTAAATTTTAAAAAATAATTAATTTGGAAGGATGACCTGTTGACCTGTTGGAAACCTTCAAATTGGAAGAATTGTTTGAAATTGATTAGTTTAGGGACCCAATTGTTGATTTTTTAAGTTCAGTGGCCTAATTGTTTTATTGTGTGCAGTTCGATGGCCTATTTGACCCTTATTCCTTTTAAAAAAAATTCTTCAAAAAAAGAAAAAAATAATAATAAACTGCCGCCGGAGACGAATCGTCTCCGGTGGCAGTTTCTGTTTTTTTAATTTAAAGAATTTTTTAAAAATTATTTAAAAAAAATAATTTTAAAATCGGAAACTTGCTACATCAGGTAAACAAGTCATTTTGGGCTAAATTGCATGTTTTTGTGTTGTTCAATGGCTCAATTGCATTCTTTTTTAGTTCAATGGCCTAATTGCACTTTGGTGTGCAGTTGAGTGGCCTATTTGACCCTTATTCCTAAACTTTTTATTAATTTAGAAGGGGTCAACCAATTCACAAGTAATTCATTCAACTAAATAGTTTTTTTTTTTCTCTCTCTCTCTTTTTTTTTTTTTTAATTCGGAGGTGACTAATAAAAAGTTGTAGGAGTAAGAAATTTTCTAAATTTTTATTAAGGGTATTCCGTATTTTTCTGATTAACCCTAAATTAAAATTAAATTAATTGATAGTTTACTAGAATCAATAACCAAACCGAACGATATATGTATTTTCGAATTTCACTGAATCGGAATTTGTCAATTAATTCAGTGGGTTAATTGAATTAAACAATAGATTCTAGAATGGTTAGTATTAACTTAGTATTTGTTTTGTTAGTTCAATTAACTAACACTGCAAACCGAATTATTCAAATATTTAAATTTAAAAACATTTAAATTAATGGTTAAAAACTATATTTAAATTAATCATTGATTTTTTTTTTTTGAAACACTCATGATTCTTTACAAGTAATATATATTTTATACTTTCTCAATCTTTTTTCAGCTCAAAAAAATAAATGCTCTCACCATCGGGGTTGATTGATTAACGAATTTAATTCAATTTGATAGGTTCATTTATTTTAAATCAAGGAAATCAAAATATTATTACTGCATGTAAATTATTATGTACTTCTATTTATATAGGATAGCTAACTCTTATAATCAAACTAAATAACTACTGATACAATAACTTATTTTGTCTGGCTTATTGTTTGGTTAAGGTCTGGTTTATTTTCTTGTGGTCATTTGTTGGTTAAGGTCACAATAAATTAAAGTTACCTATTGATCTTCTTGATTTGAACCAATAAGCCATGCTAGTTTATCTTCTTGTGGTCCTTCGTCACAACTCGAAAGGCAACTTATTCTTGGCCTTGAAAACAAATCATTTTTGTAGTATTATAAAGCAACCAAGAACAGCATGTGTGACATAGAGGGTTTGTTTGGTTGTGCAAATCCAGATGTGTATTCCCTCTTCTGCTTCATTCCTTCACACTCCTCTGTGCACACCTCAATACTCACCATTCACCATTGAGGACAGAAGAAGAAGAAGAAGAATTGCAGCCCTTTGATCTGAGCTAAACATCAGAATCTTGAATGCTTCTTTTTCAGCCCCTAGAGTTTAAGAAAACAAGAGAATAATATGAAGTCAAGGGGGGTTACTAATGGGAGATTGGAGGAGGGGAATGACACTTCTCTAAAACCAGCAACTCAAAGTAGGCCTTCACCATTAAGGTTGCTGAAATTTCTCCTAACTTTTCTGGGTTTGGGTTGTGTGTTTTCAGTGATCAGTATGTACACAGTTCAGCATTTCAAAATGCAGCAGTTAGTTATCCCTAAGGGGGGAACATGGATTCAAACTTGTTCTCGGGGAATCGGTAGCTTGGAGGATTGGATCTTACCCCCATCAAAACTGTCACATAACTTGAACGACACTGAGCTGTTTTGGCGAGCAACGTTTGTTCCTAGGATAATAAGTTATCCTTTTAGCAGAAAACCCAAGATTGCTTTCATGTACTTAGCCATGGGGTCTCTGCCTTTGGCCCCTTTGTGGGAGAGGTTTTTCAAGGGGAATCAAGGGCTCTATTCAATCTACATTCACTCACTGCCTTCGTATACTCCTGATTACAAACCATCATCCGTGTTTTACAACAGGCAAATACCTAGTCAGGTTAGCATCATCACCCTGTAATAATCTTGTGTTGTTTATGATAGTTTTGTTGTTCTCTCTTTGGATCAGCTTAGTTAATTCATGTTGGGCGGAGGCCTGTGAAAGGGCAAGTTCAACAATCGATGGCTAGGGAATTGTTGGGGCGGAGGCCGGTAAAGGGCCAAGTCCATTACCCTACTTCTAAAAAATGTTGCGGTATATAAGGAAATAAAGTTTCAAGTCCAACACCCTACTTCTAAAAAATATGGCAATATATAAGGAAATAAAATTAGTTATAACTTTTGGCGTAGTAGTAAGCGTTTGATCCTCACAAGTGATATCAAAACTAAGTCAGGGCAGAGATCAGTGAAAGGCCAAGTCCAGCATCATGTTTCTCGAAAATGTGATGGCAGTATATAAGAAAATAAAGTTACCTCCGCTGTAAGCTATAATTTTTGACGTAGTGGTAACTGGTAAGCGCTTGATCCTAAGAATTCTGGACCAATTTTCTCTTGCAGAAGGTAGAGTGGGGAACCATGAACATGTGTGATGCTGAAAGGCGGCTTCTAGCAAATGCCCTGCTTGATCAATCCAATGAATGGTTTATCCTCCTCTCTGAATCATGCATCCCTCTCCACAACTTCACCACTATCTATGACTACATCTCAACATCTCACCACAGCTTCGTGAGCGTGTTTGATGATCCCGGGCCTTATGGCAGAGGGCGCTACAGCAGCAACATGTCACCCGAGATCACCATTGATCAGTGGCGAAAAGGATCGCAGTGGTTCGAAGTCGACAGAAAACTGGCAGTGGAGATTGTCAGAGACAATGTTTACTACCCAAAATTTGAGCAGTTCTGCAGGCCAGCTTGTTATTCAGATGAGCATTACATTCCAACCATGCTAAGTATTCAGTTCCCTTCTCTGCTGGCAAACCGGACTCTTACTTGGACCGACTGGTCTAGAGGTGGCTCTCATCCTGCAACATTTGGAGAAGATGACATTACCAAGGAGTTCTTCAAGGGATTCTCTAATGAGGGTTGTGAATACAATAACCACACAACTAACCTTTGCTCCCTTTTCGCGAGGAAATTCGCTCCTGGTGCTTTGAATAACTTGTTAAAAACACTTGACTTCTAATATTTGATTGCATTTTGATCTCATAAACATGTTTTATTCTCTAGAATGTAATGATAGACTATTATAATACACATAAGTTAGGCAAAACTTACTTGATTCCATTTGAGACGAAATCTGGAAATTGAATTAATAATCAAGTGTTTCACCTCTCTGATCTTATGCCCACACACCCTCCAGGTTCATATACACTGCATGTATATATAGGAAGATGGAAAATTCAGATAGATCAGAGGAGATGGTGGCAGAGAAGATTTAGTGGAAATGGCCTGATAGTGTATTAAGTATTGCAAAAGTGGAGTATGATGGGAATCATGGAGAAAACTATGCAGTGCTTTGAAGAAAGAAGAAAGAACACTGGACTTCCAAGAAACCAGTGTGGTGTCAAGGAACATGCAGAACCCAACTGATCGCTTGGTATCCGAACATGCAGCCCAGGCAGAGTCAGTGAAGCCCTTGAGCTGTAATGAAGATGTTGCTAATAAGAAAAGTCCCTAGCCTGGAGCTGCTTTGATATATCTTAAAATCATGTGAGCTGCCTGCATGTGTAAGTCAGTATGGCAGTCTAAAAACTGAGAAAATTGGTGAGTAGCATAGCTAATTTCAGGTTTTGTAATAGTGAGATATAATAGTTTCCCTACAAGTCTCTTGGACTGAGTAGCATCCTTAAGTTTGTTAACAATAGTCCTGCTAAACTTGATTGATGTAACCATGTGTGTTTTAGCAGGTAATGTTGCAAAAATCGGTCTAGGCGCCCCTAGACCGTGGCAATTTTCCCCCCTAGGCGCACGCCTAGCGTCTAATTCGGACGACTTGGCCGCCTAACGTCTAACTTAGTTGAATTAGCTCGTCCATTTCAGTCTAGTTAATCCGATCAGCTCAGCGTTACTAATTGTTTTCATTATCCTTAACTATAATAAAGCAGAACCAGTTTTCCCGCTCAATAAAAGAAAATTCTAGATACACAGATATTTATGAATCAGTCTTTTTATATCTTCTTTAAAATAATTATTACTGATAAGGGGTAATGATTCAAGGTGTCTTTTGAGTTCATGTATATGTTGAGTAATGATTCAAGGTGTCTTTTGAGTTCAGGTGTCTGTTTCAGGACTAGGAAACAATGTTTGTATGCATATATGTATATATATAATGGGTTCTCATATTGTAGAGTACTTAGAGGTGTTGCCCTTAGCCCGAAAGTGATGGTGGCGATGATGGGATTACCGCCGAGGTCAAGGAGGAAGGCGGCACAAAGGAAACAAGGCAACGACGATTCGCGCGAAAGATGATGGATAAAACCTCGAGTTTTTTAGCGATCTAGAAAAAGATGCTGTCGAGACCGTAGAACTAAGTATCGGAACTGAGTTTAGGGTTCCGTTTGGGGCTGTAGCGGCTGGTCAGAGTGGAGGAGAGATTGTGAACGCTTATCAAGGATGAAATGTAGGGACGGATTATCCGCAGTTGGTGCTCGGGCGACAACATTTTTGCTAGAATTCTCCTACGATATTCCCCGCCGTGAATCGAATCAAGATACTTATGGCATTCAATAACTCTACCCACACGGTGAGGCAAAGTTCCTGGAGTTTTGCTCGAATTACATCCAACAATGGCTTTTCCTCTATGAATTTTTCAATTATGGTAAGTTTTTTTATGCTTCTTGCCAATTTTTGCCATTCTGATTCTTCAATTTGTATCATCGGATTCCCCTGCCGCAATCACTGTTGATTAGAAGCATTTGTTGTTGCTTGGTTTTGATTTCGTTGCTCTAGATCAATTTGCGTTTTATTCTGTAAATTTTGTCTTTCGATTCTGCATTTCACTTACAACCAGTTGTCATGTCCCATTCGAAATTATTTTCAGAGTTTATGTTTTTAGGCTCAGATTTTGCTTCTAGATTTTGATTTCTTGCGAATATTGCCGATTGACCAAATATTTCCGGAGATTATACATACTTGACCAGGTTTGTTATTTTATATATTTTGAACTCATCTTCTTTTTCTAAGTTTTTTTTTTTTTTTTGCCATTTCTTGACTGAACTGACCAAGACTGTTGAGGAATGTGTTGAGAAGATTTTTAGTTAATCAGAATTTTGCTCATTTCCTTACATTTGAGGGGGAGAGAGATAGCAGAGTAGATCAACAAAGGGAGAATTAGAACAAAGAACTCTGGGACTAGAGACTAGAGAGAATTAGAACAAAGAATTTTGCTCATTTCGTTACATTTTATAAAGAAACTTGATTTACTTAGTGGTTTTGCTCACTCTTCATTCTTTTTTAAACATTATTATGCTCATTGAAATTATATTTCTGCAGGGTTGTATGTTCCAAACACAAGTCAAGTTTAAAAAGTGCATTGCTTGAAACTTCTCATGAGTCTTTCTTTGCATCAGAATTCAAAAGAGTCTGTTTGCCGAAATAATAATAATAATTAAATGTAGTGGCTTAGCCAAAATACTTTTTTATTTTTATTTTTACAGTTATTTTTCATTATTTTGTATTATCAATGCAAGTAATAGCCGGCTAAGTGGTATGGGGACCCAAATGGATGCTACTCAGTAAAGAATGGATACAGGCAATTGGTGGGAACTTATGAGAATGATATTGGTTTTGATAAGTGGCGAACCCTATGGAATTTGAAAATCCCCTAAATGGAAGACCTTTCTATGGAGAGCTATAGGTGACATTCTCCCTACTAACACCAATTTGCTTATAAAGAGGGTGGATGTTAGCCTGATTTGTGCCATGTGTGGAGTTATGAATGAGAACACAATGCATGCCCTTGTGTTGTGTGACTATGCTAAGTCCATTTGGGATCAATCTAACTTTCCACTCCCCCATATTGTAACGAATATTTTTCAGGAATGGTTTAGAATAATCCTAAATGTTCTAGATGCTAATGGAATATTATTTGCAGCTGGAATATTATACAATATTTGGAGAGTCCGGAACGATGCCGTTTGGAATGCATGTCTGCCAAGACCAAAGAAAATTATCGCGACGACCCTAGCCTCTGTGCAAGCGTGGCAGCGTGTGAGTTCGGCTGCCCCCCCACAGCCGGCCGGTCTCACGGCTACCGTCCAGATGCCACCAGTGGCAGAACACCGAACCGCCCTCACTGCCCAGATGCAGCCGGAACTGCCACCGTCTTCCATTGCGGCGAATGGAATGGAAACAGGGCCGCAAATGCGGTGCTTTTTCGACGCGGGATTTCGGCCCCTCTTAAAGACCGCCACAGTTGGAGCGGTGCTTTTTCGACGCGGGATTTCGGCCCCTCTTAAAGACCGCCACAGTTGGAGCGGTGCTATTCGATGCGTGTAGTGGATACGTCTCAGCCTATGCCAAGCCCTTACAAGCCTGTATTTCACCGCTTATGGCCGAGGCACGTGCGTGCAAGGAAGTTTTATCATGGCTCAGGTCACGGGGCGAGCTATCAGTTGAGTTGTTCACTGACTGCCAGACGCTTCAGGCATATTTAACTACTTCGGCAATCCAATCTAGATCATATCTTGGTTATGTCATTGATGACTGTAGGACTACTATGACTATGTTTACTTTTTGCTCAGTTAATTTTATTCCTAGATCGCACAATTATTTAGCGCATATGTTAGCAGTTGAGGCTTTTAATCACGATATGACTATGTACTGGGATGAGATCCCACCTGACTCAATTTTGAGTTACTTATAAATATAACCACATTGGTTATTTTTCAAAAAAAAAAAAAAAAATAGCCGGCTAAGTAAATGTCCTACTCATTTCTCAAGCAAAATACATTGATAGACTAATCTGCAATAATATGAAAAGCCACGTCAACAAATATCAGGTTAAATTAAACGGTATGATAGTACAGGACAGTAATTGATATTTATGTATTTATTTTGGACATATTATGTAATATATTAGTGGTAAAAATAAGTAATTTTAAATATTTATAAAATAATATATGAGTTGGCATGTAAGTATGATGATGTGACAGATAAGATATCAACGCCATATCAGCGATTGTCCTTAATTGTTTCACTTTTTAAAGTACAAGGACTAAATTAAACAAAATTAAGGTAGAAGGACTAAATTGAACAAAAGACTATAGTACAGGGACCTCATAGGTACTTGTACATAATATATAATATAATGTCAATTTATTATTCTCAAAAAAATAAATTGTACGTGATTCATGTTTTCTTTGTTTGTACTTCAAATACCATTATTATAGTTGGCAGCTAATAAATAAAAATACTTTTTTTTTATCTATTATTATAACATTAAAAACAAAATTTTAACATTTAGCCGTGCATTGCACGGGAGAATACTAGTATATATCTAAAAACATAATAAGTGTGAATGAAAGTTATACCTCTCATTTATGTCCGTTTTTTCCGTTAAGTTTTTTTTTGTACATTATGCTATAAAAGTTGTACATTAAAATATTTTGGACAAACATATCCCTACCGTTATAACTTCCGTTTTCTTTTTTCACTATTGTTACCATGCATATGCATGATGCATCCACCATATATTTTCTTATCTTCTTCATTAATAATAATATATACACGTTATATATTTGAATTATATGTTAATTATTACCTAAAATATAAATATCAAATTTATAAAAATGATTTACCTTATTATTATTATTATTATTATTATTATTTAGAATAATTTAAATATCTAAAACCTAAATAAATTTAAAATTTCAATATAATGTACTAATATTGGACATCTATTTTTTGTGCTATATATATACGTGTGTGTGTGTGTGTATATACATACATATATATAATATGACATATATACACCCGTAAACTAATTTGATACTTTGAATCTTTAGATGATTGAAGTATTTGAGTATTTCATATTTAAGTATTTTTAATTTTTAATATTGTTTTGATGTTATGACTTATGAATTATCATTATTTCATTTATTTGGATGTGATATTTGATTGAATGTTGAAAACAGTCTCATTAAAATTGTCAAACTGCAAGTCTACCACTGATTTTTTGGTGCCCGCCTAGGCGCTAGGCACTGTCCGAGCGCTTAACTATCGCCTAGCGCCTACTGCAACATACTTTTAGGTGGTTTGCAGTGTAAAAAATATGCCTCTTCAACCAATTCCAAGGTGTATTTCCTTTGTGTCAGGGAAATGCCATTACTACTTCTTGCAATTTCCAATCCCAGCAAAAAGCCTCAAAGGACCTAAGTCCTTGATGTGAAAAACATTATCCAAATGCCCCTTAATTTGCTGCACTTGACTTAGATTAGGACTTGCAATTACCACATCATCAACATAGACAAGTAAGGTGTGTTTGGTTCGCACATGAGAATCGGAATCGGAATGTGTATCAAATGTTGAGTGTAACCTGGGAAATTTTCAAAGTCCTTGTTCTGATGTCATCTCCTTTGAATCCGATACTCCCCGAACACCACAGTATCAGATTCCAACACAAAATAATGGCATGGAAAATTTGTGTTGTACCCATCAGGAAAGGCAACATTGGTATCAGATGCTACAACCATTTACACTTATATGTTCTCTAAATGAGCCTTTTGGCTCTAACTCTCATAAATATTAATTGGGGCAACACCTAATTAGCTATCTTTCATCAGTTTTTGCACTTTCTTGGATCAACAACAATGGTATCATTTACTGACCTCTTTGATCTTTTTGAGTTTTATAAGTTTTAGTTATAATATAACTCAGGCCTATCCATCCATATATTCTTGGCTGCAGGCACAAGCTACTGCAGTGAAGAGAAGAATAGAAATTGGACCGTGGGGTGGTCATGGAGGCAGTGCTTGGGACGATGGTAGCCACGATGGAATAAGGGAGATAAGCCTCGTCTATGGCCGTTGTATAGACTCCATAAGGGTAGTTTACGACAGAAATGGCAGGCCTTTTACTGCAGAAAAGCAAGGAGGAAATGGTGGTGACAAAACCGGGGAGGTATGTAACAAAACCTTATTTTTCCAAGTCATTTTTAGTCATTTTCATCTACCAAAACCCTAAACTCCTACTCCTAAAGTGGCCAATTTTAATTTCTTCCATTTCATTTCAGGTAAAGCTACAATTCCCAGAGGAATACCTAACCAGTATCAGTGGCTACTATGGACCACAGCGTGGCAGCCTTGTGATACGATCGCTCACCTTTAAAAGCAACCAGAGGACGTTTGGGCCATTCGGGTTGGAAGAAGGAACTCCCTTTTCACTGCCTATGGAAGGCGGTAAGATTGTCGGGTTCAAGGGGAGAAGCGGGTGGTATGTCGACTCAATTGGCTGCTATATAGCTCGAATCCAGACGCCTAACGCCTATCAAAAGGTTCAAAAAACACTCAAGAAACTCACCAGCACTGTGGCTGGAGACCAGAACAGGCACAAGAGTTCTAAAGCTGCTGCACCATAACTTTGATTGTGTATCAATTAAGAGTGTGTTATAGTAAAGTATATGAATCTAAATAGTCTATACATATATATATATGTATCCTATCTTGCCAGTTTGAAGTTTGAATGTGGCACTAGTGGATACAAAACTCCTATATTGCCAGCCTGGCTGCACATCAACTAGCCCATATATAAGATACCTAACATTGATACACATATTTTTCCCCAAATAACATGTGACTTCTTTCATTGAGATTTCTTGGTACCCCACTTAAACAGGCAATCTCTTCACTGTGGGGTTTGACTAAAATGGATAGAACTGGGGTGGTGTGGGCTGGACAATGAAGGTTTTGAATTCAAGACAAAAATAGATAAAGCTAGTTTGAAAAATGCGTACCTTTAATTATATCTCGTGCAAACGTATTTCCTAAACTAGTTTTTATATATGTTTACTTTTTTTTTTTTTTTTTTTGTCACATATTCAAATTTTTTCTATTTTTGTCCAACAATCTCAATTCTGCTCATTTCAATCAAAAACCCTCTCAATAGTCCCCCTTCCCTTCTTCCCTGTATATCCAGTATATATGGTAAAAAAAGGCACACATAACTTAGAAACCACAATAGTGGTTTTTGAGGAGGCAATGTTTATGTGGAGGAGAGAGTAAGTTTGGTCTTTGTCAAAAGGACCTTGG